GCCGCCGCCTTCTCCTCGCCCCGCCGCGGGGAGCCGCGGCCCGCCCGCCGGCCCGCGAGCACAAGGCTCACCGCCGACCCGGCCACCTGAGAGGGAGCGCGGCCCCGGCGCTCCGTCAGGACATGGATCCTCGCGGGAACTCGGTGCGCCGCCTGCGGAAGAGACAGAGGGAGAAGGGAGTTACCGCCGGAGTTGAGAGGGGCGAGCGGAGGCCGAGGCGACCCGCCTTCCCGGCTCGGCCCGCGGGGGTTACCTCCAGCCGCCGCCCCGAACGCGGACACCCTCCGGCCTCCACCTCCTCCTCGCAGCTCTGCCGCCGCCGCTGCCGGAAAAGGCGCGGAGGCAACCGCCTCACTTCCCCTCCCGAACACGCAGGCGCAGCAGAGGCCGACCGTTCGGACAAGAGCGACCTCTGTAAGAAGAGCGGCCCGCGCGCCTCGCGTCGGAGCGCCACGCGCCCGGGGGGCGGGGCTACGGCGGCTCGGAAGGGCCGCGAGGCGCGCCGCGCGCGGCCAGCCCTGGGCGCCCACCTGTCGGCGTTCCGCGGCTCTGTCCAGAGTCCGACCTTCATGCTCTTTTCTGTGCTCCCACCCCGACCCGGGAAGCAAACCGCCTTTAGCCGGCACCCACGACGCCCCCCTCCAGCCGCTTCCGGGACTTCCCAGTCCTCGGTGCCCGCCAGATTCTACACCGACTCCCCGCGGCCCGCCGCCCCATTTCGCGCGCCCTCGGCCTCCCGGCTGAGCCCAGTTCTTGCGCTCTGCTTTTCCGCGACCCCACCTCGGTGGCCCTGGTCCTTTGAGTCCTGTTTCCTGGAGGCCACGTGGGAGGCCGGTATTCCGGGTGGAATCGGCCTGGGAGAGCCACCCACGCCTTTGGTGGCTAGTCTTTGCCCCCAGTGTTACTTTCAGGTATTTGATCCCGGTCTTTCCGTCTTGCCCGCACCGGCCCACGTCCTTAAAAGTTACGAAGTTGTCCAGCGTCCCCGCACCTTACTGTTTGGAACTATTTTAAAGTACGAAAACTTCATATTTATCATCTTTTAGTGCGCTTAGTTGTAGATTCTCACCCACCCACCCATTCTTAATCTTGAAAAACCTTGAGGGGATGAAGTTGGCATAGGATTTGGAATCTGCAAGTCTACTGACAGCCTGGAGCTGGTCTCTTAACCTTGCCGAGTTTATCTCCTATGTAAACTGACCTTACTTACTCCACCCCACTTGAGGATTAGCAAATACAATGTTTGTGAATGCTTTAGGAAATCTTTTTGTACCAAGTGGTGATAAGTTAGATTTGAAGTAAGATGAAGTAAGGAAAGAAAGCTTTGTAAATAAGGAGGGGTTAAAAGGAGAAGGAGGGAAATTGGAATAAAAGGAAATCAAAGTATATCAGGTACAAATTCCCTATAATTAATGTGTTCATTATGAATATCTAAATTGTACCGGGTCGTAGACATAGCTCAGCGGCATAAGCGCCTGCCTCACAAGCGCAAGGTCCTGAGTTTGATCCCCGGTACCGCAAAAAAGATAAATAGAATAAATTGTCCCGATACACTTAATAAAGGCTTAAATGTCAAACGAAGAACAGGAAATAGTTTGTTTTTATTTAAAAAGAGGAAGGTGCTATAATAGCATTTGATAACATTTTTATTTCACAATTTTCTTAACTTGCGAAATAAAATAAACTGGGCGTGAGCGAGGCATAGTAGTGCACGCCTGTAGTCCCAGCACACCAGAGCCTGAGGCAGGACAACCTCTCGGAGTCTGAGACCAGCCTAGGCTACAAAGTGAGCTCCAGGCAACCTGAACTGCATGGTGAGATCCTTACTCAAAAACAACCAAAAAAAAAGTTGATGGCACATGCACTACTGTAATCCCAGCACTCTGAAAAGCTGAGGCAAGGAGATTGCAAATTTGAACTTAGTCTGAGCCATTTAGCAATTTAGGGAAACTGACGAAATTTAGGAGTGGAGAAGAGTTCAGCACAAAGGCCCTGGGTTCAATCCCCAGTACTAAGAAAAAAACATAAGAAAGGAAGCTACGCAATACATACAAAAAAAAAATCCCTACTTTTTACTTAAAGGCTATGAGAAATTTCTCCCTTGTAAACCAAACTTCTCTAGAAAAGTTTTATAGTTTCTATCTGTTTAATAGTTACCTACAATATGCATATTATATTCCTGACTAAAATATTTTAAAACTTGACTTGTAAAACGTGGCTTAGACTTCATTTTTAAAATACAGCTAATGGGCCTGGGGTATAGCTCACTGGCACAGGGCCTGCCTGGCAAGCAAGAGGTCCTATGCTCAATTCCCATAATCAAAATAAAATACAATTCATGTCTTCCTTAACAACAGTGCTTACACTGTTTCCTCCTGTTTCTCAATTTCTGAAGTTCTACATTCATTTGATAGGGTCCAGTGGTATGTTTGTGTTTCTCATATCCAGAGGTGAGATCCGTTCTGACTGCAGGGGAAGGGTGACCTGATTGGATACTTGTTTGATGATGTCATTTTGAATCCTGAAGCCAATCTTAGCAAAAAATAGACCTCAGTTTGAAGAAAAAAAAAACTCTTAGCAACTGAAATATAGAATAAATAAGAAATTGCAAATTCTCAACCCCTTGGAAAGCTGAAGCAGGAATATTGGCCGGCCTGAACATTTTAACAAGACCTTGTCTTGAGTATTTTTTTTAAAAGGTTTTTGTTTTTGTTTTTGTTTCTTTAAATCAAAAGGCTGAGCCCCAGGAGGGGATATGGGGGGTAATCTCAGCACTCTGGAGCCTGAGGCAAGAGGATCACTCCAGGCCAACCTGGGCTACACAGTGAGATCAAAGCTAGCCTGACTTCCTGCTGGAGACCATGTCTCAGGACAAAGAAAAAAAGGTGGGAAATGTGGCTCAGTGGTAGGGTGTTTAGTACCTAGGATATGTGAGGTCCTGGATGTTTGTAATTTACCTGTAAGTCTCTTCAGGGTGGTTTATGTGCTTTTCATTTGTGTTTGTTTTGTTGTTGAGATAATGTTGCTACGTAGCCCAGGCTGGCTTCAGATTCCTAGTGATCCTCCTGTCTCAGTCTTTCTAGTGCTGGGACCACAGGTGTATGCCCACCATGCCGGGCTTGTCTTTCATTTTTGAGACCTTTATGCCTTGCATAATTCTTGGTATATGTTACGAGAAAGTTTCAAATCATTTTTACTTGTAAATATTATTGAGAATTTTAGTAAGTGACCAGAGGAATATAGTACTGAGTATTGAACAGAGTCCTCACGCTAAACTACATGTCCAGCCCTTTTTATTAGTGAGAGGTTCTCGCTAGGTCACTAAATTGCCCGTGCTGAGTTGAAATTTGTGATCCTCTTGCCTCAGCTTCTCAGAGTGCTTGGATTACAGGTAAATATTTTTACCCAGCTGCAAATATTTTTAAATATTGAACTCCATGGGAGCAAAAATGACAGCACTCCCTCCTCCTCCCCTATGTCAGCTAATGACTGCATTCTAGTTCCCTCAGTGTATCCCTAAGTGAATAAATTGAACATGTGTAAATACTCCACTGTTTCTCTGGTGTGAGAAGCTGAAAAATGTAAATAAGGACTAAAATGTATACAGGTATACACAATACCTGTATAACAGGTATTGTGAAGTAGGAAGAAAATGTTCAAATGGGAAGGGAACAAATGAAGAGGTGAAAGAAAGGGAAAAGTAAAAATGAGAAAAGAAGGCAAAAATGGAAATGAAGCTTTTGTAAATGGGGAAGGAAAAAGGGTTGAAAGGAGGGTAGGGGAACGAGTAAAAAAAAAGAAGCAAGTTACATCACATACAGGTACAAACGCCCTATGATGAATGTGTCCCATTATGTGTATCTAAAATGTACCAATAAAATCTGATTGGAAAGGGAAAAAGAACGTGTATCCCATTGGAAACCTTGACAGCTACCCTGCCCATGAAGAAGACTTTCTCTCCCTTTTAGTTGTATTAAAAGTGAGGGTGCTCGAACTAAGGACGTGAATTTAAAGTAGCGTTGACATTTTACAAATCCATAGCTAATTGCTTTAGACAGTAAACAGACGACATGGTTGGGTGCTAAAAGGGTATGGAAAGATTTGGCCTACACCTGTACCTCCCAAACATTTCGGTTCACCTAGGTAGGTATACCTTGGCCACGTGACTCGCCCTTACCGCTCATCAGTGTCTCCGTTCCTGTAAGGAGAAATCTTTCCTAATTGAGTAAGGCCAGACATGTTCACTCCCTCTGTATTATTGAAGGAAGGAGGGTACAGAAAGAGTAAGTGACCTTTTGATCAATAATTAGCACCGAGGGCCGGCCTGAGGCTCAGGCTGCGGGCGGGCGCGGGGCGGTGGCAGCGGGTGTGCGTGCGGGGCGCGGGCTGCTGTGCTCTCCGCGGTCCTCCTGCCCCTTCTCGACTCGTGCAGGCGGGCGGCGAAGCGGCGCTGGGCGCACTGCCCGCCCTTCCTCCGCCAGCTCCGGGCCCCGCGCTGCGCTGCCGCCGGGACGCAAGACTGCCCCGGCCCGGCTGTGGCTCGTGGGCAGCAGAAGATTCCGTCTCAGCAGGAAAATGCCAAAAAGCAGGCTGGACAAAAGAAGAAACAAGGGCATGGTCAACAGGCTGCTGCCCAAGCTGCCTTAGCTACACCTGCACTGTCTGCGGGACACGAGCGCCAGGCCTGAGACCTTCGAGCTTCCTCCAGAACTGGCTGATGTGCAGGCGTACAGTTGTCTACAGGTGAACTCACGGCGCCTTGGACTCTGCTGCTGTCTCAGACCTTAGGTAACAAAGCTGCAGCCGCTTTTCTAACAAACTGTTGATCAGCAAAAATAAAGGGGCTACAGAAACTCATTTTTATGCTGTTCCCTTTTGGGCTTCATACAAAGACAGTTCAGTGTAGATGTGCAGTTGACTCTGATTTGTAAATCTGAAAATTAGTCCATCTTTGTGATAATTTTTTTACAATTGTAATTATAATAATGTTCATATCGTGTAAAATAACTCATTTAATAAAGTAGTACTTTGATTTTAGAACAGCAACAAAAAAAAACTTAGTACAGAAAAGGTTCAAGTTAAGATTATTTTTAATCCAAATCTGGTGCTCTCTTCATTCTTTTCTCTGTGCTACTGAACCACGGGGAATACTGAACTGCTATGTATTTGGGAATTTGGAAAGCTGCATGACATCAGTGCTTCTTAGCCTGGATATATGCTGCAGTCACCTGAGGAGCTTTGAAAAGCACAAAAGTATTTGAGCCACATCTCAGATAAATTTAGGGCCTACCCACTAGATTTTTTTTTAAAGGTCTGTAAGTGATCCTAGTGTGTAGGTAAGGTTGAAAGCAGTTCAACTATGCGAAATTCCTTTCATATCCAAAATTCTATGAATTCTTCCCCAGTGTCGTGGCCCTTGCCTATAATCTTAGGTACTCCGGAGGCTGGGGCAGGAGGATCTCAAGTTTCAAGTCAGCCTGGAAAAATGTAGTAAAACCCTGTTTCAAAAAAAATTTTTTGGTACCAGGAATTAAATTCAGGGCCTTGTACTCACCAGGCGAATGCTTTGCCACTGAGCTATTCTTGGCCCTCAAAAATTTTTTAAAAGGACTGGAGAGAAGGCTCATTGGAATAAGGGCTTGCCTGGCAAGCTCAAGGCCCTGAGTTCAATCCCTGGTATCACCAAAAAAAAAAGTTAAGAATTTAAAAAGCTAGATGTGGTGTAATCTCAGCAATCTTGGATATGACCTTGTCTCCAAATAAAATAATAAAAAGCTGGAATGGAGCTCAGTGAAAAGATCTCTAGTTCAGTAGGTGGAAAAGAGGGGACAGAAATGAGATACCGGCAGTTTTTCCGATTTCATCTGTGTGTGAATTTTTACTATTCACGTAGGGATGTAAAGCATTAATGCAAGTCAAAATGTTTCAGTGAACAAGTCTCAGCTGTTGAACTTTATAATAACTATAAATAAAAATCTATTAAATTATTCTGGATTGTGCCAGCATTTGGATTTTTTAAAAACATGTAAAATTTTTACAGATGGTGTTTATAGAATTTTAATCACACTGTAGATTCCATTTAGTTACTAGACAGACAGACAGACAGACAGATAGATAGATAGATAGATGTGGGGGGGTGATCAAACTCAGGACCTTGCGTCTGTCAGGCAGGCACTTAAGCCACTGAACTGTCTCCCCAGCCAATCACTATAGTTTTCTTTCTTTTTTTTTTGTATTTTAGGGAAGGGTCTACAGGGTGTTCAGGGTCTCACTACTAGATCAGACTCATAGCGATCTGCCGTTTACAGCCTCCCAAGAGCTGGGATTACAGGTGCACACCACCACGCTCAGTCTCAATTGCTGTCTCAGCAAGCCCCTGGGGGCACGACTGGCATGGCAGGCCTGGGGAATCGAACCCCCAGCCCTTGTGCCTGCTTGCAGGTACTTTAATCTGCTGAGCTATTTGGCTGGCCCTTTTTGGCGGAACCGGGGATTGAACTCAGACCCTTGCGCTTGACAGGGAAGCACTCATTCTACTCGGCCATCTCCCTGGCCCCCATCACTACAGTTTTCTAACTGAGTTTCTTACATGCTAGTACATGTTTTTAACGTTGCCTGTCTTTTTGTGCTATTCCTGTAAGTTTGCTATTAAAATATATTAAACTATTTTTAAAAATCAACCAGTACAGACACAGGAAATGCAGACCTCCTTGACAGAGAACACGGAAACAGCAATGTGAGCGGGTAGTTGA